CATCTTTGGAGAAATTGTACCATGGAAGCAATTTGCATACAATGTGAACAGAGAAAAAGAGTATGCACTAATCATGCATATTACCATTGGTTTTTTCAAAAGATAAAATCAAATTCGTGGAAGCAAAGCAAACAACAACAACATAGCCTTTAGTCCCAAGCAAGAATATCAACATACAAGCATATTAGTGTTAATCCAACTAGAACAACAAAAATATCCACTATAAAATTTGAATCAATCAACAACTCAAGAATAGATCAATCAACAAGATGTAAAAATTGATTTTTTACCTTGAAACCCTGGAGAGAGAAAAGAGTATGGAGAGAGAAAAGAGTATGAGAGTACCTGGTAGAAGAGAGAGAAGTCTAGAGAGAAAAGAGTATGAGAGTACAAGAGAGCGAGAGGGAAGAGCCTAGAGAGAAAAGAGTATGAAGGTACAAAAGAAAGAGGGAAGAGTTCACGTGAAATCTCACAAATTTTGTGAGATTTTCACAACTATTTTTTCTTTATACTTTTGGTAAAAAAAGTCTCCAAAAAGTCATTCACTTTTAAAAGTCTCATAAAATCTTTCTAATTTGAATAACGAGAAACTTTTAGACTCTTAGAAAGTTTTAATTGAATACATGTAAACTTTTTGAGAGTCTCAAAAATCCTAAACTTCAAAAGTCTTAAAAAGTCCTAATTGAATACAACCCCCTAATTTCTCAATACATACATGATTAAACAGAAACATCTAGTTCATTGCAAATACATTGATGCAAGCAATGTCCATTCACAAGTTAGCACATGAAAGCCGCAAAGAAGTGTATAGCGCACAGCTATATTGTTGTCAATGGATACCCATTTTTAGATTCCAACGAACAGTGAAGTACCATCACACCTGAGATTTTAAAGAAGAGTGCCTCACGCATACTAGATCATCCAATTTGTTGCCATGCATCTTATACAACGACACACCTTCCATACGAGTGTAATGATCTTGTGCTGCTTTACTTAATTTCTCAAAGGGCATAGTCTCCCATTTTCTGTAATTCGAATTCTTTCTCATGTCACTCATATCCGGTGGCCCGGACACAGGCCTGCTGCCATAAGGACCAGATTGTCCCCACACTTTACAGTTACGAAATTGTCCCAAATAACCTTCTTGGCCAGCTTGATTCTTCTTCAGACGTACAGCAGCCAAGTGAGCCCTGTTTATTTTTTCTCCACTCGGTATATCTGACCACTCCTGCTTCCTCTCAGCTCTCATTGGTGAATGGATTCGAATTACCTGACAGGATAATTTGTTCCTCTAAAATTAGAAAATAGATATTTTCTATAGCAATTTCGATAAGAAACACAGGATAAGAAAAGGGAAATATGTGGGAAAGAAAAATGTATACTAACACCAAGACACTCTAGAAGTTGGTAGTATGCTCTTCCTTGAAGTGGATTGTGTCCTTTCCTCGGTGTTGAGAAGTACCTCGTCCTGAACCATTCCCAAAAAATAAAGATACAAGGAGAAAATTCCCAAAGTAGGACACCATAATAATAATAAAGAGAAAATTGAACTAACCACTCTGTATATCCAGGATCAACGGTGAAACCAAAAATGTCGACTATGTCACACATGGAAAGAGCGAGTTCTATTGATTTCATTCCTGTTCCTTTGGCACCTCTACGAAGCACTATGCCTTGGAATAAATAAACGGGATTCGGGATCCTCTGATTGTTCAGATGGAATTAAGAAACGCAAAACAGCAGATTTAATGACCTCATATCACCTTTAAAATTGAGAAATCAAATAGTATAATGAGCCATGCATATGATTAATACATTTGATCACCATTAACTGATACTTACCTTAATCATTTCATTAAAATCTCTATGAGTGAGGCTTTTGATTATAAGCACTTCATCATCTGCAACAGAATAACCATATGAATGAGCACAGGTTAAATTTTCATGAATCTGAACTGCAAAGACATCCAAGATTTCAAGCTCTACAAGTTCACTGAAAGGATCCATGCAGCCTTGGGACAAGGAATAATGATGATTCTATCAAGTTTAAGTCCAAGACTTAAAGATAATCATATAAGTGCTTCTCGTTAGCATATTTATGAAACAAGCAACTACTCAGAAGGGTCAAACAAGATAAGAATTCATGGTCTTAAAATATCTCATATCTCGCGCCTCTGAGTTCCAAGCATCCTCAAAGAGAATATTCCGAAAGGGTGATGGAGGAAGAGAAACGAGCAAAAATGTACACATGGTGATGTAGAAACTTTGCAGCAGTTTACCTGACCCATTGAGAATCTTAATCATATTCCGTGCGGCACCCCTGACTACAAGGCGAAAATCTCTCTTCACACCAACATATTTGGCATATTTCTGTACAAGATGGAGTAACCACAGCATCCAATTAAAATCATGAACATCCACATCTAGAGTGAGAGACTACAAGGACTATAAATGCAACAAAGGGTGGCGCAGTTCAGATCTAATATTACAAGCGGAATCCTCCACAATGACCCAATCACCAGGTTAACCTTCCACATTAAACGAATTTCGATTTAAGTAGCTACTCTTAATCTTACACTCACTATCCCGAGGCCACTCCATAAGGAAGATAGCGATGGGCAGCAAAACAACAATAGTATTCTTGTTTACCTCATTAACGGGGGCCTCATTGTCTCTGATGACGGCATCATGACTGTCAATTTCCTTTCCAAATTCTGTCTTTAAGAGATCTCCAGAATTTCCAACGACAGCACAAGTTTGAAACTGGCGTGGATGGAAAGGTGGCTTGGCTGGTAAAAGCACATTAAGATGTTCCTCACAAAGAGTCTTATTGTAACATTTATTTGCTCCTCTACAGTAATAAAGAAAGCAAGCAAAAGTAAATCCACAAGTTACAGTTTCTGCTAAACCAAGTTTGGAGAAAAAAAATGAGATCACTGCAGCTAGTTTCAGCAAAAAGAAGGCCATTAACATACAACTGTGCTATCCTCTTTGGAGCATAGTCTAGCCAACCATCAGGCCGTGCATCCAAATACTCTCGGCAACACTGTAGTCATATTACGATACTGCAGTTCAGATAATTTAGGTCGCTTATTTACAGTACAATGAAGAAAACTACTCCAAAGCGTTAAATCGGATAGCAAACCTGACCTGCTCCCACAACAATATTGCTTCACAAACATCATACTTATACTCCAAAGGCTCAAATATTTTAAACTGTTCATTGTACTGCAAACAAATACATAAAGCAAGTTATAAATGGTAAGTAAAACTTTTAAATCACTTCAAAAGCATGATACCACAAGAGAATAAGAGACCAACCCAAGTGCTATTTGTTCCTTCAGGAAACTTGAGAATCAAATTGCAGTGATCCATTATCTGGGCAGTGAGTCCAAGGCCTCTATTTGCCTACAAGCAACATACGCGAGCGAGAAATCAATCTTACACCACACACGCGCGCAAAAAAAACCCCAGCTAAGTTGAGTAGCTAATGAAGATCCAATGAGAACAATAGGGGGCAACAAATCGAGAAAGGGAACTGACCACGCATTGCTGAACGTCAGACTGGAAATCAGACAGTATCCGAACATCCACTTTGTTGACACTTGAGATTCGCTGGTTTCCTGGAGATATTAGGAGCATTTGTGCATATTAGATAGACACAGAGAGACAACAAATCTAGAGGAGGACGGAGAAGAGGGTAAGGCAAGGTGGGTACCGGGTGAGGAAGAGAAGTGAAAGACGAAGAAGAATAGAGAGAAGATGGCGGCGGCACAGAGGAGATGGAGGAGAGGAGGACTCCGAGTGGACTGTTTTCTCGGACCTCTCATCTTTGGATCGATCGCCGGAATTTGCTTCACTGTATGTGCTTCGTTTGTTTCAAATTTGCAGCTCTTCCCCTCCATCTATTTCTTCCCTCTTTTTTATGTTTTCTGTAATTAACATTCCCATCTTTTATTTTTCAGTAAAATCGATCAAAATTAATTTATTTTCAATTTCCTTCTGTCTAAGTTCTTATTATTTTTATAAATAAAATTTAGATAAATAAATCATACTTATACAAAATCTTTACTGCAAGTTTGTCAATTTCATTTTGACATCAACTACCCCATACCATACCACTGGTTCAAGTGTCATAACGACACTCAAACTTTGTTGACACTTAGACTATCTTTATTCATAACTCAACCCAACCCAACCCAACCCAACTTAATTCTTTTAATAAAATATTTATTTCTTTCTCCTCCACTTATACAACCCACAACCCAATTCTATTTCTACTTTTATCCATGACACCAACCCAACCTAATATTTTTTCTTTTCACTTTATTTTTAAATAAAATTAGATATATTAATTTGCATTAAATTAAAAAATAACAAAAATATATAATTATAATGCAAAAATATTACCGTTCATTTAAATAATCGATATTTAACTTAACAATAAAATAAAAATTATAAGAGTTGAAATATAAAATTAGAAATAAATAAACTGAGTTACAAATAGTTGCATAAAATTACAACAGAAGTGAAAATTACATATTTAATTACGAGTTCAGAATTTTTCCCATATGTGCTCAATCAAATCATTTTGAAGAGAACGATGAGCTTCTCTGTTGCGAAGTTGATCCCTATTGATCATATAAGCAGATAAACTCGAAATGCGTTGTGTAGAGTAGTTGAGTTCAACATCTTGTGATTGGACTCTTGTAGGTATATCCGTAAGAAATTCTGTGGGATCATAATAGTTTTGGTATGTGTCTCGTTCATCCTCCACTATCATATTGTGCATAATGATACAAGCCATCACTATTTTTCCCATCACTTCCTTATTCCAAATGAGACATGGACGTCGAAGATATGCAAAACGAGCTTGTAAAACTCCAAATGCTCGCTCAACATCTTTTCTAGCAGACTCTTGTTGTTGAGCGAACAATTTGTGTTTTTGGGTCTGTGGAGCAGTTATGACTTGACAAATGCAGCCCACGAAGGATATATGCCGTCAGTGAGGTAATATGCTCTATCATATTGACGACCATTCACTTTATAACTAACTTTTGGTGATCGACCTTCTAACACATCAGTGAAAATAGGAGATCGGTGTAATACATTAATATCATTGCACGAACCTGGTGTTCCAAAGAACGCATGTCATATCCATAGATCATATGATGCAACAGCTTCCAAAATAATTGTTGGAATTCCACCTCTCCCTGTATATTGCCCAGCCCACGCAGTGGGACAATTATTCCATTTCCAATGCATGCAGTCAATACTACCAATCATGCCTGAAAAACCACGTAGTTCCCCAACATGGAGAAGCCTTGTCAGATCCTCTTCATTAGGCCTTCTCAGATACCTTTCAGCGAAGCAGGAAATGACTCCATCGATAAAATGTAAAAGGGATTTTCTTGTCACAGCTTCACTCATTCGTAAGTATTCATCAACAACATCAGATGATGCCCTATATGCAAGCACCCTCATTGCTCCAGTACATTTTTGTAGGGGTGAAAGGCCTCGTCTTCCTGTGGCATCACGCCTTTGTTGAAAATATTCATCATTTGCTGAGATGACCTCCACTATACGAAGGAATACCGGTTTATGCATGCGAAATCTCCGTCGAAACATCTCTAGACTGTATGTCGGCACCTCCACAAAGTAGTCTTTCATTAAATGCTCCTCACCAATCTCACGTTCTCTATTACAATACCTCCTCCTCCTTCTGGTTGTTGGCATTGGAGTGCCTACAATCAGATTAGGATTGTGTATGATTATATCATCAATGATCCTATCAATTTGATGATTGTGTTGCCTTGCTCGTTCTTCCCATTCATCATATTCAGGGATGTGGAAAGAATTAGAGCTAGAATCTGAATCAGTTGAAGAGTTTTCATTTTGAGACATTTTGTAAATTATGGGCACACTTTCAAGAAACAAAGATAAAATAGCTAATGTAGAGAATTTTGTGTGATGTTCATTGTAATGCAGATCGTATATATAGAATATATTTGAACAAAGAAAGAAGATAATTCTTTACCGACAAGCTATAAAGTGAGTGCATGTAATTATTTACCGACAAGCTATAAATTATATGTGAATAAAGTGAGTGCATGTAATTATTTACCGACAAGCTATAAATTACATGTGAATAAAGTGAGTGCATGTGAAGAGATTTTGGATCGTAGCTAACATTATTTCTGACAAGTCCATGTGAACAAGAGGTGTAAAGAGGGTAATAAAGATAGATGTTGACATATCATAAATAATTGCATCTGAATTGAAAGATACGTTAGATTACACAAACTAATTTAAAAACATACATAAAAATACTCAAGCTAAAACACACAGTACATTCATTCTCCAAATACAATTGCCATAAGCTTGCGTTTTGTCTCCTCATCTGCTGGAGACAAATGTTCTTTTGCTAACAAGGTATTCAACATTTTTTCTTTCATCTTCATCCTTGAGGCCTGCAACTTTTCACGCTCTAATATCATTAGACACACTCTTCATTGCCTCCGTTTCGTTGTCCCTGGAAAGTCTCAATGCACGAATTTCAGCAACAAATTCATTAGAGAAATCAGATTGTGGCATCTTACCTTTTCCTTTCTTTTTCGCCTTATCTCTACCAATAGGACGGGAAGGAGTGGAACATCCGGTACTTGGAGTTTCTTGATAGGAAGGCCTAGGATACTCTGCATCTTCGGAAGTCCTTGATCTTTTGGTGCTTCCACCACTTTCTTCGTCATTACCCTCTTCATCTTCAGGACGAAAACGAGTTTTATCCTGAAGGGGTATCAACTCCCACTTTGGATGTTTACACATAACTTAATTGAAGACAATCGAATCCTGAAACTTGCTACCACCTGCTTCATAAATTCTATGAGTTTCGTTCTCAACATCCTTGTCGGTCATTCCACTCATTTTCTGAACACACGCTTCCTTGTAAGCAGCCACCCACTTGTTTGCATTTTCATTAAGCCGTTTCCAACGACCTTTCATTGATTCGATATTTCTTTCGTTCAGCTCATCTGGCTTTTCTGCTTGGTGTTCGTGATACAGATTGTGCACACGAGCCCATAGCGAGACTCCTTTTTTATTTCTGCCACGTATGTTATCTTCGCTAACGAAGATCCACGATGACATAAGAGTTATATCTTCTTTCACACACCAATTATTTTTGGTCCCCTTTAGATTTTTGTTAGGACGTTGAACATTTTCAAACAAATTGCGGGAAATTTTTTCTGATGTGGGCACATCTTGAGAGGTGTGAATTTGGCTAAGATTTGGAGAATTTTGATAATATTGAGAACTATGCTCATATTCGGAATTTGGAAATTGTTGAGAATTCGGATATGGAGCAAAATTTGGATAATTTTCGGAGTTGGGTAAGTTGACTGAGTTTGGATAGTTTTGGGAGTTGAAAAAATAATTTGGATAGTTTGGATCCATAACCTCAAATGAAGAATAGAGAGAAAATATAGAACAAGAAATGTGTGAAGAAAAGATAGGTTGTATTTGGTTGTGAAATTGTATCAATATTATACTCTATTTATAGAGAAAAGAAAAATATATGAATTTTGATATAATTTTTATTTATTTTTTATTTAAAATTATTTACAATATTATTAATTTAAAAACATAAAAAAAAATACAACCCACCACATGCTGTCAAGTGGCAGCTTGTGGTTCATTCAGAAATGGGTTGGTCGACATGCCTAGGTTGATGACTCTGGTGGGGGAAAATTCAATTTTTACTTTTTTTTTTCTTTTGTCGTTTCTCACGCCACCACCCTGGTGGCGTTAATAAAGATGGTCTTAAAGAGCATTTTCAATGACATCATGTCTATTTTGATATGTACGTTGTAGAGAAAAGAAATAAAAATATTTTATCTCCAATGATTAATGTAAATTGTAAAATAAATTGACACATGTAATATAATAATTGGTTGGTGGAGGAAAAAAAATAAAATAAATAACATAATATTAGAGTAGAAGATGTGTAGAAGTTTTTCTACTTCTAGAAAGACTTCTAAAAATTTTAAATGCCACATTGGATTATTAATGCTACGTGACAATGAAATGGAGCAATGCACAACCCATTGGAAATGCTCTAAACGTCATGGTTTTTGTCTAAGTAACCCTTCTAGACGCTGGGCCGACTTAACATTGTCTATGATGTTTAAGCAGTTGCAAAATGTCATTTTTTTTGTAGCGCTTGCAAAATGTTATGCCTAGACTAAACATTGTCTCGACTAATTAAGAGTCGACGACAGTTGTCTAAGATGGTCAAGCGGTTGCAAAGGATGATGGCTAGAATGATTAGGCGGCCTAATTATTGAATTAATTATTTTATTTTAAAAAATAAATAGAATTTATTTTTATTTTAGGTATAAAATATACATTACTTATATAAACAATAGTAATTATATTAACATTAAAATAATAATTACAAAAATATTGGGCAAAGTAATTATGTTCTACCTTTTTTTATTATTATAATAGTAATACTCTGCCAACCAAAGATGAAATGAAAGGAATAGTAAAGACAACACACACAGCTTGTGCTTGGCCGGTTTCTCTGCGAAAATGGGAATAGTTGGAATGCTTAACTAAAAAATTACAGCATGCTACTTGTTGCATACATATACGTCACGATTGGACAATTCAAGAATAAAAAACTTTACGGTAGTCTAAGTCGATAATGAATGTCCTAATCTCCATAGGAGCAAGTTCAATTAGAAGCTTGGCTGGATCAACAGCTCCTCCTCGAACTACTCGTTTGGGTTCTTCGCCTGCTTCCTCCACCTTCCACTCTAACCTCTTCTTCTCCATCTCTGCCCTTTCTTGGTTGGCCGACAGACTCATCTCCCTCACCTTCATGATCTGGCGCACGCCATTTTTGGAACACAATCAAACATATCATTAAACTCCTACTACAAAATGCCTCTCTTTTCTAAATATGGATGGACAATTGAGAAATGAGCATGAGTTTTAACTTTTGAATTTTTGGTAACTAAATAAGCTTAGCTAGCTTATAGTTTATTTGGTTAGCTTATAAGTTTCCTATATTTAAATAAGTTTCGTTTGGTAAGACAAGCTTTTTAAAAAAGCTTGAGCTTATTTCATACGCTTCTTTGAGTAGTTTTTCAAATAAGCTCGTTGAATTTTTTATTCTATCTAGCTTATTAGCTAATTTTACCACAACTTTAATCATATAAGCTTGCTTTTCAGCTATAAATTATGAGCTATAAGCTATAAGCTCGAAAATCACTTATAAGCTATAAGCAAGCTAGTAGCTTATTAGTTATCAACTAATTTTACCAAACATAGCCTTGATATACCAATGTGGAACATGAAGTACCTTCTTGTCAGGGAAGAGCTTCTTCAGTTCTACACTACTCAGCACTGAGTAGTCTTCATCCTCTCCACTCTATGCACGTCAATAATCAATCAGACATGTTCAGATTGTTTGATATGATTATTAGTAATCAAGTGGAGATAGAGAACGAAATTACAAAACAACAAACAAGCAAGTCAATCTTCTACTAGAAATGCAAGACCTCATATAGGTGAGCCAGGCGAAGAAGAATCCTGCCACTTTGAAGTTCCTGCAGCATAAATGATAATGGCCGGGTTACATTACACCAGCTGGTATATACACACAGAAAAATGACCCAGAAACTCGGTTGCGAACACCACCTGAAGGGTAATTACTGCTATGTTTTTTGGTAAACTATAGGATTGATCAATAGCTGAAAATGTAGTTTTGTGGGAACTCATCCAACTATTTCTGTCCTGCATGAAAAAAATAAAAATAAAAAAATACCACGTCAGCTATTTCACGAGTACAACTTTCACATATATTTTGTAGGTACTATTTTCTCGCCTCTTCTGAAAATGCAAGAAGAAGCGGAGAATAAATCTCTTGTCCAAATTCCCGACGCCACCTTGCTCCTTCCCCTCGCGGATCAATTCTGAGATAATACTTCCCTTGAACCTGAAAAAAAAAAAATAAAAAAAAAAATCTTAAAAGTGATTTGAGCAACGCATTTTGCCTTTTTTTTCATAATCCAATCATTCATTTCGAAACCTTTTTCTCGTAACAGTCAGAAACACGAAAGAGCAAAATGCAGGGGAGGTTTGACAAAACAAATAGCATACTACCCTTGAAATAGCCGGGTAAGTAAACACTAAATACAATTACAGGTTATTGCCTTAGTGCTAGATTTTACCGTCAATCCCTTGCAACTGTCAAGAACACAAACTTCTTCATTTAATGCCTCACCAACACCTCTAGAGTCATCATTGATCAGCCGCCTAGATTAAAAAAAAAAATAATAACAAATTTAAGATTCTGTCATTATTGTTAATGCAAACGGCGAACAAGTGGACCAACTTAAAATTGAAAAGCACACATGAAGAATACAACAGTTAACCTACCTATGAAGCATAAGCTCTATTTGACCATCCAACAAGCTCGCCCCACCAACTGCCCGGTCAACCAACACAGAAACCTCCACAGTTTCACCCTCCAGATAAATTCCGAGATTAATCTACACAACATAGAGATTATAAAATTAATTTCAGCACTCTGAATTAGGAGACTCAAAACAGGTGAATGCATGAGCATCCAACAAAATGAAAATATCATAAAGCAGATAAAAAAACAGCTGATATAGAAATTAGATGCTAAATTACTGCGAAAGCTTCAAATGACATACAGGGTAATAATTGCCCGCAACTGGTTGGTGTACCTCCAGGTTCCAATCATCTCTATAATCTCGAATCTGCAGGGAATAAATTTCAAAGATATATATAAAACAAGTATACTTTTAATTTGTCTTGATCACAAAGCTCAAAACCAAAGAGAAAAGTATACCCTTTTGATGAAGTCACGCCCATTAGAGTCTGTGTAAAAAGTCTTATTCGTATTCAGGCCTGTACTTATTTGAGTTATTATCTCCTTTCCAAATCCATCACCCACAGGTATAGGTCCAATCTAAAATATAAGAATAAATGAGAAAAATCCAAATTCTACAAGGGTAATATCAAAATTGTTTGACGCATTCAACGAGGAACAATATAGGCAAAAGACTTACAGTAAACTCGACTTCGGCATATTCCTTTGCCTTGTAAACCCTGGTGACCTACAGATGTACAATATTAGCTGCCAGACATTGAAGGCATCAAAAGTACCAAAGCAAGAAGTAACAAGAAGAATGGCTAGGTACCTGATATAACCATATGTTGAGCTGCTGGTGTACTTCATCCAGTAATGGACCTCGCATGACAGAGAAAGGAACCTGGAAACAAGAGAATCCTTCTACTTACTAACCTAAAACCAAGCCTATTGAATAAGATAATTGCTTGGACCATGAGCTTACTAGTTAGTACCCACAGCAAAGTATGAAATAAGAATAATTTAAGAAACAAGCTTACCTGGGCTTCAGGTTTTACCGGGAATGTACCATTTGGGCGGAAAACATAAGCTCCAGATGCCTTCAGAAAAGAATCTTTTCATAATTATCAATCTTGTAAATCATATATAAGAGTGAGCTAAACGTTTTCCCACGGACGTAAGAATACCTGGAAAACTCTATCTGTACCATTATAACCAGTGTAGTAACTATATGATTGCTTGGCTGCTGCAGTGACCTTCACCAGTGAAGCAACAATGAATGTATCAGCATTAGATGCAGTAAAGGATCCATGAGACCACCTCTTTTACCATTTTACGAGTAATTCTATGTTGGAATAAGTTCTGTATTTTATATTTTGCAGCTTATCTACAAGATAAGCTTAAAAAATATTTATGAGTTATGACCGACGCAATGCATATGTTTTTTGACGCACAAAGAATTAAATCATCAGCAAAACAGAGTAGCTCAAATCGATGCCTGCCATGAGGACTGAAAGGACGAATGGAATAATGGCTTGGCCCTTTCTATCCTGTATATACAGTAATTTGTCTTATTTGAAAGTCATGAAAACCCGTGTTTATTTGATGCTCCAACTTCCTCCCATTTCAAGAGATAGAGCAGAACCTTTCCTTGAATCTATAGTGGACATGTATCCTCGCCTAAATAATATCCTTTTGTTGTTCTTTTGTGAAATAACTTTCAAAAGTCAACTTTAAAACACTTTGAGGACAACTCACTGAGTTTCTGCTGTTTGTGTAACGTGAGAGCTTTCCTTTATTTGCTGAATAAATTAGCTTTAGGTTTCCTTGACCAACTTCAAACGTTTTACTGGTATCTTCTTCTGGTGTATAAACACTGGAAATGACGGACCTATGCTCTGACCAGATATACAAGAAAATAAAAAAACAAAAGGATCACTAAATTATGCCATCATTGTAATTAGACACTTTTTTAAACAAAATGAACTGGACCATCCTTACCTTCCAGTTTTGCAGTTGAGACAAAGTAAGTGCTGAAACCAAGGGGTGGAACAGATGCTGAAAATGCAAGCCAATATCTTGCAGAGCTACTGGCGGATACACCTAAATATGCCTTCAAGTGATAGTCTATGGTAGGAAAAGAGATGTTTGAAAGAGGAAGAAGCTGTGACTCAATCTTCCTTCCAGAAGAATCCAGAACCACCAGATTTTCAGAAGAAACCTGCAAAGACTGACTGATTACTAGTTCTAACTCCAAAACCACCCAGAAGAAGCACTATTTTCTTTTGTATGTAAACATCTAACAAAGCCCAGTCACAAGATATGAGGCGCTCCATTTCAAAATTTCTTATAATCTTGGTCTTGCTGACTTCCTGTGCTACGCATGACCTTTATAATTAGCGCCCCTGTATTATCTTTTCACAAAAGTTGACGAGCAAATGTTTAATATCCTCGTCAAACATATTGATGGAATATCTGGAGCAATTTTAATATGATATACAAGACAAAACTGAGTAAGTAAGATCGAGTGACTTCAGAAATTCATAGTATCAAACATAGTTCTGATGATATCATCTCAATTTCTTCAACTCAACCGATGCCATTCACAGAATGACATGAATTCACATTCTAAAAACTTACTAAAGAAGCACACGAGGTACTCACAGGAATGCGGACGACCTCTTCTCTTTTCCATCCTAAAGGATTGTATGCTACAACCACCTAAAATGTTGAGATAAGCTTCAAAAAGCAGCAAAATAAAATACTATAAACAAAAGGATAGAATTTATTTCTTTTGGTGTAAACATAACAATAAGATGGTAGCATAGTAGTTGTAACAATTTTTCTTACCAAGCTTTTCTCATCAGTAAAATTAGCTTCTGATGGAGGACAATAGCTTATGTTCAGTAAAGGACACTGACAAAAAAGGTCATAACAAAAATATCAGACTATGACATATGTTCCTACTGTATAATGTCTTTCAAAAATTAAAATAAATAAAAACATGCAATTAGTTAAAGATAAAAAAANAGATTATAATCTGATTACATGCATATTACTCAAATTTAGTGGTAAATGTGAGAAAAAAAAAAACCTCTTTTGAATAGGCAAAAATGGACGGAAAAGATGTTGACCCATCATTGACAACGGCATTTGACATTAGATTTATTGTGACATTACATTACAATCTGATTACATGCATATTACTCAAATTTAGTGGTAAATGTGTATTACTCAAATTTTAATATTAGATTACAAAGAAACAAACTCTTTTAATATAGTGGTACATGCATATTACTCAAATTTTGCTTGTCGCCAGTCAGATTTATTGTAACATTAGATTTCATGTGATTATTGAATCATAGGAATGGTTATACATAATAGTATCTTCCAGATGCTGCAATGGTGCATGAAATGAAAAGAAACCTGAAATGTCAAATAACTCAGTAAGAAGTGAGGAAAGCATGTACCTGCTGAAATTCAGGGAATGGATCCGTGTAACTAGATTTTGAGGCTGTGCTTGTTAACATAGCCAATGATGATGCAACAACTTTCTCGGCCTGAAAATTTCAACTAACCTGTCAGAGAACTCAAAGCTGTTTATGTTCAAAGGAAAAAAAATATATCATGAAGATGCCAGTGTTTAGCATTTATTAGAACCAAGCATATGCAGTATGCTAGTAACAACACATGGGTGTCCCCGCTAACGATATTTGGCAAAAGGTAAACAGATAGAACAAAAAGTTCGGAGTTATCGTCACAGTATTTTCCAACCCTAACAGAGGTACCTCATTATATCCTATTGAAAGTCGCAAAGCATAATCAGCAGCAACATGTTGCCTTTCTGTCCCACTAACAGCATCATGATGTTGAGCTATAGCCAGGGCATCAGCTAATGCATCCGTATTTGGTCCAGAATCAGACCTGCCTTTTAAGAACTCCAATTGTCTTGCAGCCTGAAATTAAAACTCAAATGACTATGGAGTGTAATATAGTAGTACATGTAAGTCGTTCACATTCTAATTCAATCGTGAGTTAAAGGGACTCAGGAACATACTAAATAGTAGCCACTCAGCATCCTCACATATCCTTTAAATGTTGGCCTACTGGTAAAGTAGCCCGTCCAGTATGCATTCTCCCGATCTGCATACCTGGGAAATGGCACCAAATTGTTATTTCAGTGAGCTAAATCAATTGAAATCCCACACATTAAAATTGGACCCACGGGAAAAAGTCGCCAGTTTTCAGAGGCCATTTCTCATGCGCTGCATGTTTCGCATCCGTGTATATGGATGGTGTCGAATAAAGAGCATTGACACGGCCATCCTAAAAGTAAGAAATGGATCATGAATTTATAGTTTCCAAATCTATATATGTACATATTAGATACACATAAGTGAAGAAATGTACCAGATTGACGTAATGAATGAACTTGTCCATTTGTCTGAACCATGAAACTGCATATTGGTAACGGAAATCAGTTCCCATAGTCCACATTAAATGATTTGTCCGGGTTAGATTTGCCTGAATTCAAAGACACAGCAGAAACTTAAAGATGAGCTACAGAACTCATGAACCTTACAAGAAAGGAAATATGTGGTATTAAAGGTTATCATTTAATCGTGGTTACATATATCATCCGTCAGTTGATCCAATTTATTTCTACATTCTATATTTAGCCATAACTTTGGCTTTCAGAAAATTCAACCACCCACTGAAAGCATACTACTTCAAGTTCCATGAGATGGCAAGATGCTGAGGGCAATCAGATACAATACCTGTGCTACAGAAGCTGCGACAAAATCCTCCACTCGCTGTTGCACGTTATAATCGAACAGGATATCATCGTCCTAAATTCAACCCTTGCATTAATGTTTATTCCACAAGAAACAGTCTAGATTTTAATGGTTGGGTAATACATGATATAACCTGAATGGGAGGAGATATATCATTTATTTCAAAAGAAAATCCATCTGGAGGCTCGTAATGAATGGGGAATATCCCTGTGAATATCTGGACAGGATTGCATGCCAAAAGTGGTCAGACTTCAATATTTTGGTGTTTTAGAAATTATAACAAGAATTAGACGTGCATGGAGGTATAAGATTTCTAACATGAAAATTTATAAACTGCTTCCACAGTACAACTAAAATGATGCAGACAGAGATTGGACATAGAATTCATGATAACTAACCTGAGAAGATGCACTAAGGGACCTTGAGCCCCTCCATATAACCTCAAGAGTTTTATCATTTCTCCGCTTAGCTCTATCTTGGTAATCAATTCGAGCGAAAAAGAGAGAGTCAAACCCCAACTGCATCATGAACAGGTAGCAAAAATGGAATCAAGTACTGTTTCTCTCTTNATTCTCATAAATAGAACCCACGCCTTCCGTTCAATCATACTAAAAAGTAATGTTACTTTACAGACAAGGCATAACTAATTTACTCTCAAATGGAATTCCCATAAAGGGATACCTCTGCACCTAGCAAATAAGCCTGAACAGCAGAATGCCCAAAAGGATCAATCTGCCACCCAACTCTTGGTTTCTTGCCAAACTCATCAAGAATAAAACTGTGTCCCAAAGTTGTCTGATCAATCAAATCAATGTAATGTGGGGTTGCCTCATCATGCATACACATTCCCCCATTTCTGAATCACAGATGGAAACCAATACTGAGAGCATTCCTAGTGACACAGAAAAGTTCCAAAAATCTGTAACAAAAGGGGAAATTGTTTGAGAGTGAATACATGAACTCAAGTTGACCAGAGTCAACCAGCTGTTTGACTTTAGCCTTGAGGGTGTCACTTTGCTGTCTCCACCATCTCTGGAAAAATGCCTGATACAATAAGCATGAATGAGGAAGTGATAATACAGCAACATCAAGTAATCACATCAAATAGCAAGAGCAAGCAGCTAAACTTACATGTTACACATTTGAAGTAGCAAGTAACTATAACAATTTTTTTTAATAAATCAAGCACAAAAAGAATAAATAAAACTCGCCATCTCAACATAGATGAACTTTCGATTCTTGTCATCCAATAAAGCGGAGATTACAGAATCCAACACGTTCTGGACGCAGGCACCCTGATGGAAGAACGAAAACGTTTGATTAGCTAGTTAATTCATAGATAAATAAATGCAACATTGAAGGAGTACATACAGAAAAATAAAATAATAATAATAAATATACAAAGAAACAAAAGTACCCGAATAGAATTGTTGGCGCCGGAGTAGTACTGATCGACGGTCTTGAGCCACCCAACGTCGTCGTGTGAGTGAGGCACCAAGTGAACGTTGATTTTGGCGGGCGAGATGGCCGAGGAGGTGTTGTATGGTATGAAAATGGCGAGGGCTTGCATCGCCAAGCATATTACGGCGAATATTAAGTATATGGTTATCAAGGGGAGCCTATTGAGCTCCATGGAGTGAAGGTGAGAGATGAAAGGAAAGTGAGGTAGCAATGAGGAAAACAGAGGCAAGTAGTATATGGATTTCTGATATGGATGTTCCTTGACTTTAGCGCAAAGCCAAACTCAATTGATTGCTAGCTTTTTGTTGGACAAGAACACTCTTTCTCTTTCTCATTCAACTATTTTTACGCAACAACACTCCAAATTATTATTGATCTTTTTGAGTCCCCACTCCCCACTCCATTTTGCTTGAGTGCAAGCTAGTTTCATTTGAATAATACACTAATTCTTATCATTTATACAATATATTTACAAAAATAGACAATTGATCTATCTCAATTTTCCATGCATTCCAGTTACCAAATATTGAATAAAGCAAAAAAGAGTATAAAATAAAAAAGAGAAGTACATTATCTTAAATAAATAAGTGAGAAATAAATAATTAATAATAATTACATTGAATCTAGATAAACTCAAATATTTGATGACATGGATAAAACTATATACAGAATTCACTCCCATCAGACTGTGTCTCTACTATAATTTAAAATAGACTTAAGGGTAGACTTTGTCTTTTTTTTTGTGCTGTGATATGAGTTTAGTAAGACCCCAGAATTCACTCCAATTAGACTGTGTCTCTACTAGAATTTAAAATAGACTTAAAGGTAGACTTGGTCTTTTTAAAATAGACTTAAGGGTAGACTTTTTTTTTTTTTTTGTACTAGAATTTAAAATAGACTTAAGGGTAGACTTGGTCTTTTTTTTTTGCTGCCATATCAGTTTAGTAAGACTCAGTGTACTTGCACTTGTATTGGGGAATATTTTTTAAAATTGTGTCTATTATTTAGGTGACATATATATTTTTTTGATTGAACTCAAAGCACCTCTTATATAATTTTGGTTTACATTTTCGCTTAGAATATATCTGTTCGCACAAGTTTGGAGATAATAGATCTAGCAATTCTTTTGGTTTACATTTATTTTAATTGTTCCTATAATGTTTTAGTTTGTTGTCCATTTTCTTTTCTTTTTTTTTTTATNATAATGTCAGATATACCACCATGGTTTGTGCTTACAAAACTCGATAATGACTTTGTAATTCCAATAATTTATTGTAAACATCTCCGAATTCATTTTATATTCTTCCATTGAAATGATATTATCATTATATTCTAATGTACATACATAACCATCAGATTTATTAGTGACACTACGGATGAGACATAGATAATGAAGTATGCCAACAGTCAAAGATGTTTCATTAAAAGAATAGGAATACAACTAAAATAGATAAAAATCATGGGTCAATGACGTCTGCATAATGCTCGAGATAGAGGGAGGGAGGCGGCGTTGATTTTATCTACGGTCTATATTTGAGACCCCATCAAAATGATCCTCCACGGTCAACCTCAAACATCATCCACAAATGCGATTCTAACATTCAACCGCACAAACGCCAAAATATATAGGGTGGTTACATTTATTTTTTATTGTTTCTGAAAATTAAAATTTCCTGCTAAATCGCCCCAAATGCAACAAAATTGGAAAAATGTACAAGCATTAGCAAGATTTCAGCACCTCCTGATTTTAGATTTTCATCAGATGAATTCGCTAAATATAAACGTTATTGTACATATTCTGACAAACAACTTTAATATGATCTTCATTCATCTACCTGATTAATTAGTTGTATCACGGAGCAGTACTTTCTTCAGGTTGCATCCTGCCACCATGGGCCGCCTCATCCATGGTTAATACCCCAGATTCAGAATAACTAGGTCCTTGACGTGGAAACAATAGTTTCAGTCTGAAAGCATCAACTCCATTCAAGTAGTATCGGAAAAGCCTCTTGGCTCTAATAAACCCCATACGGCCATAAAGCGCGAGTGCTCCTTTATTTGTAACTTCTGCTTCCAATGTTACCTTTATAATGCAAAGAAAGCATATTTTGATCTATTAGCCTTAAGAATATATATGCTGTCTGAGAGTTGCAGTCCCAAAATCACGCGCACAATATGACAGCTAAATTATATTTCTGGGTTCCACTAAAACTGTCAAAAATCTTATTGAAAGAGGCCAAGTACAACAACAACAACAACAACATACCCAGTATATTCCCAACAGGTTGGGGTTTGAGGGGTCAGTTATACGCAGACCTTACCCTTGTAATTATACAAGGAGGCTGTTTCCGTAGCGACCCAAGGTGCATTGCGCCGTTTGATATATTTTTTTTTCTAAAAACTTCACTAATAGAAGAAGCACTAGAATTTAATTGAGCCATTTTGATCTAGTCCATTATTAGCACTATGCCAGGAGAATTGTCAGCAATGACTCTTCCAGCCAAGTAGAAGACAAAAAATCATTTACAGCATATAGCTTAGGTAGTGTAAACTAATCTAGAAATTTGAATAGAAATGCTAAAGTAGCTGTCAGAGTGGCCATAGAGTCCCAGGAAAACAGAAGAGGCACTGTTTTTTTATACCCATTGCAGCAAGCGAGCACGCAATTACAAGATATCGTACTATGAATTTGAGTGAGTGATAGCATAGGAACTGAAGCTAGGCACAAGAAAATATAAGACTATTTGGAGCATGGATGCCTATAAATAGAATAGTATCTTTGTATATGATGAGAGTGTTATTCGTCCGAAACAGCATGATACTTGCTTTGTGTAGTGATCGGATATGTTCTTATAGTCGAGGAAGAATGTTGTTTGTATTGCTGATAGTTTTCTAGTTGTACCATGGGCGTGAATATAAAAATATATATACATGGATATAAACATATTATAACCCCACAAGACCCAGTCAAGTCACCTAGAAATACCCTTCTGCCACTACGTAATACCACATGCTATACGGTCTTTAGACTACACCTTTTCCCCTTACGGGTGTAGCTTAATGTATTGTTGTTTTACAAATTATGGTAGAGAATCGGTGAAAGCAGGTCTTATGCCAAACCAGACTGCCCGTCAGGTATGATATTCCTATCTATTAACTGACCCGCCAAAGAGGTAAGTTAAAGCTTTTCTAAAAAGAAAAAAGAAAGAAAAGGATAATACCTCCTCACAACCTGATTCCATCATCACTCTGATCGACCTGGTCACTAATTCAGTTGCTGCAAAATGAAAAAGGGATTCACAAGAGCAGATAAAATCTAATCTATCAGCTTATGGTGGGGAAAGCATGGATGTTAAGTAGGCAGGTAGACAATTGTTGATGAAGTGAGCTAAAAGTAGAAGAATGAAATACACAGCAATTGGCAGAGAGACTAACCAATGCCTCTGCCTCTGTAAGGGCTGAGAACAACGAGCATGGCGATGTATCCTCTGTAAGTATGGCGATGGTCTCCCATCTTGCACACCACCGTCCCCACGCATTTCCCCTTGTGGAATGCCTGCCAACCAGAAAATAATCATGAAAATCCCATCTGCAAGCATGAACACGAATCAATGGTGGAGAGAGAGAGAGAGAGGGAAGTAACTAACGAGAAAAGTGAGATGGGGCCAGAGATTGACGAAGTATCTGTAGGTGAAGATGGAATAGGGTTCGCTAAGCTCCTCATCCACCAGATTCATAATCATCGGCAGGTGATGCTCCCCGCTATAGCTCACATACTCAATCTCCGATCCCTCAAACTCCGGTTTTTCAACCTCCATCCACAAACAATATACTGAAACCAATGCTAGTAAGAGATAAATGTAGGCATTCAGCTCAACTATGATCCACAGTCTTCTTCTACCACACTTTCAGGGGTAAAAATTGTACCAGTATTATGATTTCGCGTAGCGTATCAAGAATCGAAGCACGCAGGTTGATTAGTACCGAAATCCGGCGTAAAATCGAAATTCCAGACAACAAAAGAAAAAATTGTACCTGATAGAGAGAGACAATGCGTGAGGAATAAGTCGGTGGTCCAGACGGCAATAGATCGTCGGCCAAATTTGATGGAGGGAAAAGGGGACACCCAACTGTCGGCGGTGAATCCGGAAAACCGTAATATCAACGAACAACGGCGCCCGGTTAAATGTTAAAGGAACCAGGGTTTTGTTTGGGTGCCTCGCTTGGTACACAAAAGTGAATAGCTATTCACCACCTCATGTTACTACTCACTTCCTCTTTCCAATTACATATTGGGTAGTTTATTTATTTAAAAAAAAATAAGTGGAGAAAAATAAAAAAAAAAAAAGAGTAAAAAAAATAAAAAAGACGTATTTCCCGAATCCGTTTTTGTAATAACATTTTATTAGAAAAACGGATTTTTATTATACGTGTTATATTTAATTTTAAATAATTTAAAAAATATTTATTTCTTTTTAAAAAGAGAGGAATAGAATAAAAATTAATAATTATAAAATGAATTTAATAAATCCGTTTTTCAAAACCCCAGAAATCAATCAATTTAGGGTTTTGAAAAATGTATTTATTAAATCCGTTTTATAAAACCCTAAATTGATTGATTTTGGGGTTCTGAAAAACGGATTTAATAAATCCATTTTATAAAACCCTAAATTGATTTTTAGGAATTAGGTTCGCAGTTGTCGGAGCGAAAGTTTCGAGGGACAGAACAACGACTGTTGGCATTGAGTTCCGAAGCACGCAATTACTTTTTTCGAATTCCTTTGAACAAGTGGACCCTATTGAAAGATCAAGGACGCAGATAGGGCACATTGCAACAAATATGTCGGAGAGTTACAAAAACGTCCTGAAAGGGGTTAGGTTCCTACCGTGCAGAGCTTTGGTAGACGCCACATTTCATAAAACTCTGGATTTGTTTTAACAGGAACAAAACAAGTCCACGAGATGCGGGAGTCCCATTGCTAGGGAGCACTTTAACGCATATTTGCAATTGGAGAAGACAGCCGCCACTCATAATGTGAGAGTTAGGACGCCGACAGCTCCATATACGAAGTGGAAACCGGTTTACGGGCTAGTGGAAGAGGGCAAAACAAGTAAGTATATGTTTTTTTTTTTTCTTTGTCCATTCAATTTTTTCATATTGTATATATATAAATCACTGAGGAATTATTACAGGTATAAGGTAGATTACAACCGAAAACGTTGTAGTTGTCGGAAGTGGCAAACGCATAGGAAACCATGCTCTCATGCGATAACAGTATGTCGTTCAGTTGGGACTGACCCAAAACTGTTGTACAGTGAGTATTTTTGGACGGAGAACTGGGTAGCTCAATTTAGCAATTGGAATTTTGCTCCGATTGGTAATCCGGATACATGGGCGCCGGTCGAGTGGAAATTGATACCACACTGGGAGAGAATGATCTTGAAGCCTGGACCCGGTCGCGTGCAAACGAGACGATATCGCATGCAAATGGATCGTCGGGCACGCCGCAGGAGGGATAGGGGACAGTGCACTAGATGCGGTGATCCAAATCATGTTGTGGATGAGTGT